CATTATTATGTATTCAATATCTATGGAATGTCCAGAATAAATATAAATATAGGCTTAATCGTTTATTCGTTCGTCATATATAGTGGCTCGTAATGAATCCAAAACATTTAGATTTAATTGAGATATTGCTCGTATAGGTACTTGATACTAGAATAATATTGAAAATAAGGCAATAGGAAACATAACAAAAAAAAAAAGATGACAGTAATGTAATGTTATGCTCACATAACATAATATTATAACTGTATAATTATTTATTATTTATATCATTAAAAAAATGTAACTAAAAGATTCAAATATAGCCGAGTACTTGGTATTTCATAAAAGGCAAATTATTTAATAAATCTAACCGATCTTTCGCTATTCGAGAGGGATGCAAGCTTATCTACAAGCAAAATAATTTAGATATGTGTTAAATATAATAGAACTGCATGCCATCTGCTACGGCCCTTTGAGGACACTGCCACTTCAGTCATAATATTGTATATTGTCTTCTTTTCACAATTCGAGTATTACTTATTTTATATCGACATTGACGCGATTGCAGTATGTTCCATCTTTTTAAGCAACAAATTCCAGTGGTTTTCTATCATTCGAGAAAAATCAACATCCAATCATTTACAATCATTTAGAACATTCAAATATAAGTGATATAAAAATTAAGCAATAAATACACAACATCAATACCGCCGTGCCGTCATCATTCTTTCACATTATATACCGTTACAATTATTTCAATATAAATTTCAAATCTACGCAAAACACATTTTTTTTAGATTTATTGACATAACATTGTGCATAAGATTTTATTTCTGAGAACTATTTTTGTACCAGCAATATTTATCCGATTTTTTAGGATTGCACTTTTTCCCTAATGAATTGCGATTAAGGAGGTACTATAGGAAGGCTATTTTGAAACATTTTCAGGAGTTTTCAAGTAAATGGGAAAAAACAAAAAAAAAAAAAAAAAAAAAAAAAAAAAGCAGGAATATAAGAAAAATATTAAATAAATATTTAAAAGAAACTGTAAAATGCATGTGTAATTATTTACCGTAATATGAAATACATATTATTGACAAAGCAACACTATATCAACTGAAAATCATTCAGAANAAATTTTGCCTCAGATTTGTGTCATTATAACATTTTTTGTTTTTTCTTGCTTTAATAAACGTAATACTGACACGATTCTTATATGCAGAGCATTCCTTCCTGATAAATTATAACTTCCTTATAGTCTCGAAATTCAGAACGGCTATAATTACGTTACAAGCGGTTTTACAGTTTCATTTTTAAAACCAGTGTCATCAAAAATAATATTGAAGACTTTTTTTTTATTTATGTATGTGGCTGATATTGCATTTTAAACGCAATAAAAAATTGCAATATATCAAAATGCGGCAGAATCGTATGATGATAAATTATTAAACATCGCAATAAATCTA